CAGCTTCAGCTTCTGGGAGTATTTCGATTGTTTCACACCAGTCATTGATTCTGTTTGTTAGAACAGCTTAAATATTTTTCCTATTATATTACATAACGCAATTCCTCCATAGTTTAAAGGGTTATTTGTATCCCCTTTCTTGTAGAGCATTATCATTTTTGAGTTGGACCAACTCTTGGGAGCTGTACTTTTCCGCAACATAGTGTTGTACAGATTAGAAAGTTTATCAATCGGATCATATGGATGAAAAAATTCATTCGCGACTGCATCGGGTCCAGGGGCCTTGCCCTTAAGATGTTTGAGTATTGGTGTTAGTTCTTTCACTGTTATTTAACTGGAAATTTTTTTTTTCTTCATTTTAAGAAGATTCGCTTACTCCTTTTTTGTATTGATGTAGCTGTTTCTCAACTCTACCTTTCGGTACCGTATCCAAGTTTATAGTTGTCACTAACTTTAATTCTGCCGTCCACGCATTCTTCACCTGTTTCCTCTAGGGCCAGAGTATTTTTTTCCTGTAAGGTTTCATTGTAGTGTTTTACCTTCTCAGAGTCCCAACTAATTGCGATGGTGCATGTTGGTTACGAGTCTTCACTTGTATAGGTTTTTGTTTCTGTACGCATTGTCACTACTACAGGGAGGTGATCGGAAGTCCTTTATATAAAACCAACCATTCCAGTTGGTCCAAACCATGTCGATAACTGTAGGTCCCACCCCCCTGACAAATATGTACTCACATTTACAGTCTGATTTACTTCTTCCGTTGAGAACTACCATTACCATTACCAAATTCTTTTACTATTTTTGAAATTTCATAGCTATCATTTCGCAAGTATGTCAAAACTGTAATAAAAGGGAAGTCTCCTGTTGTTACATTTGTTACTATGCATAGCTCATTTTTTTCCAATATACTAATTTTTTGACAATTTTTTCATTGTAAATAATAAATAGACCACCACTTGCCCGTCCTGTTGATTTTTCCTTTAGCGTGAACGATTCAATAAGTTTAAAATTATTAGCGAATGGTGTAGATCTCATGTTTAAATCATTACAATGTCAAGTTTCACTAACACCTAGGATTGCATAATTGTTAAAATATTCTATAGAATCTTTATTTGTTAAATTATATGTTTTGAATTCCATGAATGTTCCAAAAAAAGATATTGGCGCCTTCCACCTGTAACTTATCGACCCTGTGTAGATGACTATTGTTTGGTTGAGGTGCGAAATCTACTGATTCGCGGTGAAAGTGAAGTTTCCTTCTCCCCATTTTGATGTGAATGTTGATTGTCTTCTGACTGTATTAAACTCTTTCCATTTTGCCATGCAAATTCAGTTCCATCGATTATAAGTTTTTTTATAGCCGATTTTTATCGTCTTTCCTTCTGCTTTTTTGGTTTCTGCGATTCTGCCGATTTGTTTCTGGATGTCCTTGTCAACGCTTGTTCTTTCTGTTCGATGTAAATTCTTGTTCCCATAAGTTTATGTTTATTTGTCGTAATACTATTTTTGTTTTCAACACTGCTTAATTTGACTATAATGTAGCCGAATCCTGTTTCCCTAATTTTAACATATTTGATATCCTGAATTTGAGGCTGGATATTTAGTTTTTCTACCAGGAGGTCATAAACTTCTTTCCTGAAATTGTCTCAAACCCTTTTATTACTATATTACTTTGTACGTCCCTTCTTTCTCTGACATCTTCTTTCCGTTTCAATTCATCAGTGTATCTCCGCAGAGTGTTCCTTTCTTCCTCCCAAGCTTAATTTTTTAAGTCCTCTCGCATATTTCTAATTTCGCTTAGTAAAATGCTTATTTCACTATGATCATTTTTTATTTGTCCAAATTACATTGCGAGATCATTTTGTCTAATATTTCTAATAAAACAGGCGTTTCGCCCGTGTTATCTGTCGCATTGTTTTCTTTACTTTTACTTTTACCCCTACTTGTCTTGGGTGAATCTTCAAACATTTCTATTATTGTATTCCCTCTATTTTTGGAATTTCACTTGGTTTATTTCTTTTAAGTGGCATTGTCAGTCGTATTAATATTACTCTCCAAGATTGGCGTCGTACCTGCAGTTTCCTGTGTTAGTATTCTACTATGATTCAAATACCAACCCACAGCTACGCTGACTTCACCTGGCCGTTAGATGATATGATCTCGTCTGTAATTTGTTACCGTTATCTACCCATCCAATGCCAACCACCTTTTATTGCAAAATCTTTTGCAGCCTTTTACAAAATTAAATGTATTCTCTCTCTTACGTCTTCTGCTTGTTTAGGGACACCACTATAACTTTTTTCAATTTTCAAACACCTTTCTACCACTTTTTAATGTACTATTTCGCAGACCAATTTGACACCCCTGTGCAACAAACCTAACCTCCTCTCCCTACTTAATTTTCTATTCCATTAATTGCTCTTTATTTATCGTCATTTCCTCCAAGGTTCTTTTTCTTTCCTTATCATATCTGTTTTCTGGCCTAAAAAACATGCTTTTCTTTTCCATTTCTCTCTTCTTAAGTGTCCTTCTTTTATGGGCTCCAATTATGGAATATTTTGGACTAATTTTTTGAACAAACTTATCTAGTAATACATTTTAGAATAAAACAAGTTCAAGATATCATTAACATCGCTGGAGTTTAAAACAGTATATCAGTCCGTGGAATTGATGTTATCGATGATAGTCAGCTTTTCCGAAATTATATAGAATTAATTTAGAGCTGTGACAGGGAGGAACACTAGCATTTCAAATAGATGGTTTTTATTAATAAGTGGTCAGATAAGTTCACAACATTAAAATTCATATTTGATAAAAGAAGATCAACAGTGTAGTTTTTTGATTGATACTTAGGATATTTAAGAAAACATTTTAAACGATATTGGTAAATAAAGTAAAAGAAGATGTACCATGGAGAAGCTGTACAGGAGAAATGTATGAGTCACCAATCAATAAAGTCCCTTCTGGTAAATGTAATAGAAGGAATAGTTGCACAGATATCTTGAAGTCAAGAATACTTAGAAAACGTGTACCGTTAAAATATTTAAGAATGTTGTGATGGTCCTCTAGTCTAGCCTAGATAGCCTTCATGCCTTTGTTGACGCTTACAGACAGGAATGAGGTTGTATTTTCAAGATTGGATGAGACTTAAGACAATATAGTGTCAAGTAATTGATTTAGACAGGATTTTAATTGCAACTTAAAAATGTCTTTTACAATACTTTCAGGGTGGCTACGAAGGGCAGACGGATTCACAGGAGATGACGTTAAAAAAAACGGTGACTCAAGTTATTTATGAAGCCCAGGAGACGTTCACTCGTAGCAGAAATAGGTAGAAATAATGTTATTTTTGCGTAATCTAACACCACCTGATTTAGACGTACAACCTAAGTGCGCTTTTGTTGTTTTGCGCTGATAACATACAGGATGTTTCTGAAATAAGTAGCAAACGTAACAGCGAGGGTGTTAATTATATGCAAGAGGGGGTCGCATGGCGAGTAAAAAAGCATGATTAAGGGTTGAAAACATTGTAAGAAAACAAGAATTAACAATCCGAAGCCGGTCCTGGGCGTGAATTGACAACATACAGAGAAATGGTCATAACAACTAAGCAGCTACATCGACGAATTATTTAAACTACACCTCGACATAGTATTAAGAATACAAGAAAGAAAAAATTAACGTAATGTAAACATTAGCTAGGTAATTGTAATTTCATTGAATTTCCAAGTTACCTATAAGTTATTGCGTTACCTTGATTAAGTGAATAACTTTCAAGTTAGTTTTCTTAAATTGCTAAGAAGATTGCTTGTTTCTTGTTAATTTTTTTACTTCTTTCGTTATTTCGGTTTAAAATAGACCAAAAGAAGTAATAAATCCATTTGAACTGCTCGCCTTTTGTTTTAGTTTGCCGTCCCTATGCTAGGTGGTTGGAATGAATTGCTGATTCTTATCTAAATAGCTATAAAGTAGTGTAAGAAACAAAGCGATCGTGTGGCAGTGGTTTTCTTTTTCTAGAATTATGATTGGTTGACTTTACAGAGTTGCTTCAGTTCATTTTCTATATCTATGGGTTGAGCACAGGAGATTTTGTGACTCGGGCATATTCGACAGAATTCGTTTAGGTTGTCAGACGCCAAGTGCAAATGTATGCATAGAGAAAGTCGTATAAAACTGGCACCCACCATAAACAATCCTCGGATTTAAACTTTACTAATAATTTGTTTTTTTTGTGGGCTTTAAAGATGTAAGTAGCGTAATTGTGCGTCCATTAGTTTTCTTAAAAAAAAGGAAAATTGTTTCTGGTGCAGGTGGAAGTTTAATGTCAACTTATTCAAAAACTACTAATATATCATAAGTTAATTGATGCCAATCAATTGCGCATCATTTGTGCGTGATGACTGAGCTATTATGCTAAGCGAAACGTACCTTTATATTATTTATTAGTAATAATTACATATAATACTTAATTTTTCATTAATATTACTAATACGTGAGCGCTATTAGTAAATAATTTATTAAACTATCCTTGAAATCACAACTTCCTGATCTAAGACGTATAAATCCAGGTAAAGCAAATAGTAATTTAAAATCTTTAAGCAAACGCGGTATTCATTCTGCTCAAGGGTATACTGTGTATCTAGTATTTTTCTTTCCAGTCATTCTTTATCCATGATCTGAACGTACTTATCTATCTTCATGGCATACTTTTTTCTTATCTATGATAATAACCATAGCTATGCCATAACGTAATCTATGGCCATAACAATTTATGGTCATAGCCATAGATAATAGATCTACAAAGGGTAGCAGTGGTCATAGCATAATGATGCTGGATAGTATCTATGCTACAAGGCCATTGTTCACGTAGCATTATTCAGCACCATTAGGACGTATCTTTGACAAGTAATCTATGATCTATTACTATGATAGTTAGTATATATAATCTATGGTGTAGTCTAATTTTCTATGGTGGTAGTAATCTATATTGTCTATGGGTGATAGTAAAATAACAAAGTCAAAGGTTACGGCAGTTTGTTTTCACGTCTTGTTTTTATTAATTGCAAAAATGCATAATAAGAAAAGAAATTCTAGGAAACAAATGATTTAAAATAATAAAAGTGCTTAAAGACAAAACTCCTAAGAAAATGTCGAGACATCGCAATGTGAGATCCATGAACTACTCAGAAGGTACCTACAGATGTTTTGTTCAATATTGAATAGAAGATTTTATTTTATTTATATTTAAGAGTACGATGGATATGATGATGTTTACGGACATTCTGTGGAAGATGACTACTGTGTTTCTCCTAGTGAAGCTGCTTTTATGTATGATAGAGAAGGATCAAAAAATAAACAAAAAATAGGAGCATTTTTTCAAACAGTGTCAAATATAGCCGAGGAACACGAAGGAGAAGTTGATTCAAAAGTACTTCCTTATATATTAGTACAGTGCAAGAAATCTATAAGGCTTTTGTAGGGCTCTGGTTCTGACATCGAGGAAGCCCGTTTACAGTCTTGCATTGATCAGGTCAAAGAAACTTTAGGTTCATCATTTTCCATTAAAGAAATAGTTTTGTCTCTCAAAAAAAATAATTTCGATATTGAAAAAACCATAAATGATTTATTGATGAAAAGGGCTGATGGAGAATTAAAACAGGAAACTGACAAAAAAGGGAAAGGTGAGTTAAACATATTGAATACCCTTTGTATATCTCATTTCAATGTAAATTCCTTGTTTCATATTCAACTTCACATTGTCCTTGGAATTTGATTATGTAAGGTAAGATGTTAATGCAGTATTCAGTAAAAATTCAAAGACTTTTGTTATACCAAAGTTGAATGGAATGACTAAAACTTCCGATAGCACAAGTCAATTAAACACCACTAGTAGCAATAATACTGAGGCAACTTCTTTAACTGATTTGGCTAATTTACATTTAAGTAATTATTCAGGCAGCGTGAAATTTCAAATTCCAAAATTGTTTGATAAAAGCAATAAAAGGTTTCCCTCCAATACATTAAGTTCTAAAACAAGCCAAACAGATAATGCTAAAAAATTCAACAGGAATATTAATGACAATGATAAAGAAATAAGTACAAAAAAATTAGCAGATCAGGTCTCTCAAATCAGTTTATCTGAAAGACAAAATAAATCATTAAGTTCAATTGAAAACAAAATTCAAAAACTGTGTCAAGAAGGTGATAATGTTTGGAAGATTGACTTAACAAAAGCCCTAAGAAATACAATCAGTGAGCCAGTTTTTAAGTCTAAACAGACAAGAAAAGATAACAATATGGTCACTGATGATTTTGATCTTCCCTTTATTGATTGTGAAGTAACTTCAGCTGAAAAAGAGGAAATAAGTTTTCCTTGCACACTAGATATCAGTTATGTGTTATCATTACCGTGTAATTTGCTCAAAAAACCCTCCACTTTCGGAAGAGTGTTATACAGAAAATACCGGAAAAGAAAAATGCATGTACTAAGTAAAAAAGAAAATATAAAGACGACGATTCCGNATTGTTTTTTTCCATTGTGATTTTCTTTTCTATGGTTTGAATATTCGATATATGATCCTTAAGTTTTATACATTCCTTTAATATATTGTCTTCTGAATTGAACATCATTTTTCGTTTCTTCTTGGAGAAGGTATTTCAGTGTATTTCTATTTAACTTTAAAATCGATCTTATTTATCTGTCTCCAATGTTTTCGATTTCTTTTTTCTTTTCATCCGCATATCTCCGCTTCAGACGACAATATCCTCTACCAATGTCTCGAATAGAAACATTCTTCTTCCAACTGTCTTTTACAAAATATAGGTTTGATCAATAATGTAGATTCTACATTGTAGAATGTTGATAAGTTACAAAATATATGAGCTTCTATACCTACTAATCAGAAGTGTCATGGCCAGTAGGTGATAGTCGGTTGTAAGTTTTCTCTTAGGATAAAAGACGTCTTCGTTTTCACACGATGATACGATAAAGAGGGGCTTGAAATGTCTCTATTTATCATAATTCTTGGAGTTCTTCGGCACTTTCTTTGCCCACGTGGTTTTTTTTTCCGAGCAGGCTAATGCATTTTGTTGAGCAGTATTTTATCTGTCTTTTGAAACAGAATATGGTAATTACTGCAATTAATATCATGAACGGAAGAACCGCAGTGATGATATAAAGGTTAATTGCTGTAGACGGACTGGGGTCTCTTTTATTTTCTGCAGCAGTGTTGCTATCTCTCAGTGATCCTGAGTTTAAGAGGTTTTTATTTTAGTGTCTAAGGCAGTTGTTCCAAATTGAATTTCTTCATTCTTGATTTTTGTAGTTTTTTTTTATATGTTTCATGATTTATGATGATGATTTTACCATAGTTAACTAGGCAGGAACCATCGTTGTATTTCTTGTCATTCGTATTCCATTTAATGGTGGTAGTTACCAATAGAGTTCCGCTTCGAAACGTCTTGATTTCTTCTTCATTTCGGACAAAAATTACAGGAAACAGACAATTCTGTGACATTTGTCTATCTGATTAGTACAGTAGTATTGGTGGTTATTCACGGCAGCACAATTGCTATAGGACTATACTTTCATATTTTAGCATAAAATCAGCCGGTATTAGGAGAATAGTGTTTTCTTTTATTAAGTAATACATTTTGTTTAATTTGAACTGGATAGGTCTTACAATTGGAAAGCTAATGATACATAGCACACTATCATTCGACAAAGTAATGGTTTGTTTGTTAAATCTTAATCGATTTCTTCATATTGGTCTTCGTCTACTGTTCCAAACAGATAATTAAGTGCATTTCCTATTCCGTTTATTGGTCCACGAGGGTTTCTATGGATTTTGAATTTATTGAGACATTCATTAATGCCAATGTTAATACAGTTTTTAAAGTAAAAGATATGGCAGCTTTGTGTTGAAGTTGTAATAGGGTACTTTTAGTAATTAAATTGGTATGTGTTACGTGGAAGATTAAAACACTTTTTTAAACAAAAGAACTTTGTTGACACACACGTAACAATTATTTAGTTCTAGATTCGTTCCCTTTTAGCGGATGAACTCGTAGATTTATCTGAACGATTACTTCGTTGTACTTTATTGTCAGAACGTGACTAACTAACTTATTATTGGGCTAGGCCCTTTTATACTAGCTACGGTATGATGTTTGTATGGCAATTAACAATTTGATGATATTACATTTTAGTTACATACATAACACCTTCCCTCTTAGATAATTATTATTTTCATGAAATAATTATTTACTAGTTGATTATTTAGTTCATCTTAGTCTAAAATAAAACAACTCCTATCGATACATATCTTAAATCTACGGTTTTTGAAATCGTTTATTCGTTAATTCAGGTAATAATATAATGTCTTTACTTAATTCGAGAAGGTGGTGTTTTACATCGGTCAAAACTGGTGGCATTTCTTTTGTTCCGGTTTCGGGGGCCGTTGGTGTGTCCTGGGGTGGAAGCATTCATAAGCCGGCTCTCTTCACTCGATCTTTGGGTGTAATCGTTGCAATTTATTATTTGAAGACAGGGCAAATGGGTTCCCATAGCTCTACATCTTTTCCATGGGGTGAACATCTTCAAGCAATTTGGACAGCAGCACCAGCAGGCGAGAATGGTCACCAATATGACACCAAGGATTGGTAACATGGTATAAAGCCAGTTTCCTCTCAATTGGATTATTGGTTTATTTAATTGATCGTCGATACTATTAGAGAAGTGTTGTTTGTAAGTTTTCCCGTTCCAAATCTAATTGTAAGATATAATGTTTGAGGGTTCCCATATATATCGGTTCCATGTTTAAATCGTGTACGTGTGCAGTGTCTTCCTGACAACAGTCTAACCGACAGCGTGACATTGATGGTGATGTTAGATGTTCTATCTTGCTAAGCTGAAATTTTTAATTCATTATTAAGAAATCCAACTCATTTTGGTTCCAATTCGATGAAGGCAGTGGCGATTAGCGGTTGTTTGGACATCCTCTGTCCTGGGCATTTCGTAGTTATACTCCCATTCATCGTCGAGTAGAATAGCCAAAGATTGTCATGTACCTTCTGTAATAATTCTTCTTGCAATTGAAGTTTGATGATCTTACATGATTTGGGCAGCGTGGTAGATCCAAAGGCTTGGGCTTCGCACTGACCTGAACTTGACCAGCCTTTGCTCGTAACATCTTTACAGATCCATATTTTGTCGATAAAGCCACACTTATCGAGTCGGGAGATTGCAACCCATGTGTTCCCTTTTTGTTCAATAGCCATGTATGTGTTTGAGGGTAAGATGATTTATAAAGGTTGGAAAAAGGGTCGAATACTGGATATGGATATATTTTATACAAGTGGAATGAATTGGGTACTACCAATGGAACTTTCAGAACTACAATTACCTTATCTTTATTGATGTAAACAGTTGGTTTTATGATAGAAAAATAAGAGTGATCCGAGTCTAAGTTAACATCGAAAGATAATTTGTACTCTGTTATTTCTGGTTGAATTAATTTTACTTCTTTTGTTAATATCCCTGGTTAGATTACACTTGGGTCTAACATTCCCATTTTTGCGTAAGTGCCTAAATTTAAGATATCCTTAATTTCTTTGTTGAGAATTGATACCATTTCTGAGATTATTTGGGCAGTGTCGAGTATGTGTAAAGAATAACTAAGTTTGGTATTTACGTCATTTAAATTTAGACCCCATTTTTCCAAATTGTCAAAATTTTTATTTGTTCTTATTAATTGTAATGATGGTGTTATTTAATTCAAGGTCGACATGGTGATGTGTGCCTGCTGTTTCATTGATTTTAATGATTCTTGATTCGATTCTTGCATCGATTCAATTGCGCTATCGTAAAAGTTAGTGTCATCTTCGTCAAGTCTTCCAAAGACGGTATGAAAGGCTTTTCCAATAACAGATAGTCATGCGCACTTCTGTCTTTTGTTTACATAGGCTTGTAAGATTTTATTAAAGTCGTTATCTAATTCCCTAATCGCTATTCCCAAGTAATTTGTGATAAGAACTTAATTCGTTTTATTTTTGGCTTCTAGTAAACTTAACTTATTATATCAGCTTATCAGTTGCACTCGGTCGAAAATTTGTTTGGTGTCTTTAATCAATACAATTTTCCAATGGGAGTTGGACACAAAGAGTGGGCCGGTATTATGGAAATAAATGTCAGTCTGGTTAAGTGGAGTGATTAGTGTCTTGAAACAAAAATATTTTCGTTGATAAGGATCCCTGTGTTTGGAGAAGTGAAATTTTATGTCCATATGCTTCGTTCGATTGCTGAATCTATTCCTGTTTTTGACATTACGATTCCGCAAAAGCCTATCCGTGAATTGCCAAATAGTTTCTTCGATTATTGACAGTACCATGAGAAATTCACACTTTCACCTTCACTGCCATTCAACCGTCCGCTCCGTAGAGCATTTCCAAACTTAATCCTCATATTTCGTAGTTTTATTATTAAAAGAGATGAAAGTTTTTGCACTATCTCGAACGGTAAAAATACTTCCGTCATATCCAATAAAAATCCCACCACTTCGTCTAACTTCGTCAATTGTTGGTGCTTCATTCTGGAACGAAACGTATATTCGATCGCGCTCTGGCAGATCACTTCGTAACCAACGTTTGTTTTTTGATAATAATCGGTCAATCTCCCTGTTTCAAGGAACGCATCCGCACAATGATACTGAGCACATAATAAGCCACATGATAATACTCCCAACAATATTTAATTTACATACCAATTCCGTTTCGTTCGATCCAAAGCCTTCGGGTTGTTACATGTAGACTTCTTGTAAGTCTCCATTCAGGAAAGCGGTCTTCGCATCGAAATGCTTAATAAACAGCTTCCTTTTTCCGGCCATCGCTAACAATGTTCTTAACGTTGTCTGTCGCACTAGTTGGTTTGTTTCAACAAGAAGAGCTATTGTAGATAGTGCCTTATCATTTTTCTTCTGCCATGAACGGTCTCTTTGGTCTTCCGCCGGTGGTTCACTCGACACAACATCCCATACTTATTTCAGCATTTATTAATATCATTTTTAATAAATAACGCCAAGACTGGTAGTTTTCTCTATTTATTTTTTGATCCTTTAATTTGCACTTTCTGCCATTTTTCGCGATCGATGTTGATGCCACTTACCCGTTATTACCTTATACTTATATCGTTATGATTTTTATTATCAACGCGCTGTCTGGGGTCCAGAACCTGTTGTGTATGAAGACTTCTTTAGACTAGATGATAATAAAAATTGCGGGAAAACTATTTATTATAACAAAACTTCAATTATTAATTCTGTGGCTACATATGCCCATTGCTTATGACTAATACAGACAAAACAAAGAACAAAGAATATAATCATAATCCAGATCATAGTTCAAACCTTAAACATAACATTTGGATAAAATATAAACGGAAACATTAATTTAATTGTTTATCGTTACATATATTCACACACAAACACACACGTTGCTTTATATCAGCCAACACACACTC